TTTTTAAAGATGACCGGTAAGGGGATCTTAACCCTTGACTTGGTGTTGTCAGCACCACGCTCACCCAGTGAGCGAACCGGCCATCCCTATGTGGGATCCGAACCCGGGGCCTTGGTGTTATCAGCACCGCACTCTACCGAGTGAGCCACGGGCCGGCCCAAAAATGAATATATTTTATAGCCAAGATTCCAAAATGTATGAGTTTATATATAGTGATGGTAGAACTATCAATCAGAATGATATTTTAGGAAAACAACTGGACCATATACATCAAAGAACCTACGAAATGTTTTTGCCCTTTGATCCAGGAATTTCACCCTTACAGATTAATTTCCCCAACATAATGGATACCGACAAGAGACACCTATCTAATATATTTAAGGGAACAGAAATATAATACTAAAGTCATAAAAAGGAGGAAGCATATGCTGTAGCCACAAAGGCGAATATGTTAACTATGAATGATTATTAATTCTATTCCTGCCAACCAGAAAAAGAAAGGTGATACAATGGGTAGCATAACTCTTCGGATGGGAAATAAGGAAACCAGTTTTTCAGAAGGGATTTTTTTTCCCCTCTAATATTAAACCCTAAAATAAAATAAACCCATCACATACAATATAAATTTAGTAATGGGGACTCTGGAGAGAACTAAATGTCACGTAAATATATAGCTTTATGGTGCTGTAACATAATCTATTGATAGATCTTAAAATTCACCAAAAGTAGATGGATTACATATCCCTTATACAATCTTGACTAAATGTCGTTTTTCTCTGCTTAGCTTTTAAAAGGAGTAAAATAATTGACAATTCAAGGTATTCTCTAACTAGAACCTAGACTGTTAGGACTTTGTCTTGCTGACTGATGGAAAATACACAAATCTTGTCCATCAAGCAAGCAGGTGGCAAGGCAGACATTCTATTAGGCAGGATGAGAACCTGCAGAGAACTCTGCTCTGAGGGAAGGTAGACGGCAGAATATCTGGGCTAAGCCAGAGTTTCCCTCCAGAAACACCTTTGCCTCCATTCTAGTACCTGGCTGGAATCCCTGAAGAAATGCACAAGTCTGCAGAATTGCATGGAACTCATCTTCCTAGAAATAATGCTTGGCCAGAATCTGGCATACAGAAGCATGACCTGGAAAATTCTCAGAGCAGGTCTCATCAATTTTGCAATCAGCCATAGAAAAAGTCCAGTAACACTCCAGTGGAACATTTGATTCTGAGCAACATCATTTCCTGCCTATCAGAGTGAATTAGCTGCAAAATGGACAGCCAGGCACCTCCATCACTTGATCTGCTGCATAGCATTATTTAAATTCTGGTGAAAGTCCAGGGAAGGCAACAATTGACCCTTGAGCCATTCCTTCTGACTGAAGTTAGATAGTAGAAACCATTGCTTATAGAGACCCCTGCAATACATACTATTAAAACTATACTTTGGGCCAGTCCGTGGCTCACTTGGGAGAGTGTGGTGCTAATAACACCAAGGCCACGGGTTCGGATCCCTATATAGGGATGGCCGGTTAGCTCACTTGGGAGAGCGTGGTGTTGACAACACCAAGTCAAGGGTTAAGATCCCCTTACTGGTCATCTTTTATTAAAAAACAAACAAAACAAAAAAAAAAAAAAAAACTATATCCTAAACTTATCGAGGCATACCTGTGTGATTTACATTCCAGTCATCAAAAAGTGGCCTCCATTAAAAGGCATAAGTTGGTAAGAACTCACCCTTATAACACCAAGGTCACAGGTTTGGATCCTTGCACTGGCCAGCTGCCAAAAAAAAAAAAAAAAAGATGAACTCTGAGAAAGCGGTATATACCTGCTAGGTGGTTGCCTAATAAATATTCTCTTAAAAAAAGAAAAGTATAAGTTAAGGAATAGGATTGATAAAACACAGTACTATTTTTTTTTTTTTTTAAAGATGACCGGTAAGGGGATCTTAACCCTTGACTTGGTGTTGTCAACACAACGCTCTCCCAAGTGAGCTAACCGGCCATCCCTATATGGGATCCGAACCCGGGGCCTTGGTGTTATCAGCACCACACTCTCCCGAGTGAGCCACGGGCCGGCCCACACAGTACTATTTTATAACCTTTTCTTGGCTCCCTTGAGTCTTGAGAGGGCATCAAAAGCATGGTACTAAAAGACTTTGAAAGTTAGGGATCTCTATTAAGCCCTGTGAAGATCAACAGTAAGGACTGTCCAGTGAGTGACCAGGTTCAACCTGGTGTGCAAGGCAATGGCATTTCCCCCTTTTTTAAGTGGGAGGGGCTACCCTCCAACTCAATTTCACCCAGGTGGCCTCCAACATCTCCAGGGTCTAGGCAGCTGTCACCTATCTCAGACTGCTTTGTGCCAAGGCCCTCTGTCCCTTTGTGCCAAGTCCCTTTGTCTCTGAGCCATACAAGACACACTCATGCTTGCCACAGAAAACAAGACAGCAGGGCCGGCCTGTGGCTCACTCGGTAGAGTGCGGTGCTGATAACACCAAGGCCACGGGTTCAGATCCTATATAGGGATGGCCGGTTTGCTCACTGGCTGAGCGTGGTGCTGACAACACCAAGCCAAGGGTTGAGATCCCCTTACCGGTCATCCTTTTAAAAAAAAAATAAATAAATAAAAGCAACTTCATCTTTTCAATCGCTGAGGACAACCTTGGAGTTTGCTCCTCTCTCCAATCTCCATTACCAAATCCTTCTGCAAAACCTGTTACCTCTGACTTAAAAATATCATCTTTATAAAAAAAAAAAAAAGAAAAGAAAACAAGACAGCAACAGAGGTCATTGTCCCTTTGTTGGTGCATAGCTCCTGGTGTGTCCAGCCACACCCCAGCCTAAGTGTGACTCTCTGCAACTGCTGGAGACTGGGAGACTGGGCCGAGAGACTGAGAGATACCTGCTAACCTGCTCAGGAGTGGGGTATGTTTATGTTTGCCCCAGGCCCATTGCAAGACAAGACCTTACAAGCCTGGCCCATATCTGAATTCCGTCCATGAAGTCAAAAATTGGTTACATTTCAGAAAATGTGGTAATAGCTATTTTTCTTACCCAAAAAGTGGTTATTAAACACAAAACACAAAAGGAATTTCCCCTTCCCCTCATAGCTATAGGCTGCAGGGGGATAAATGTCTATAATTCATCTTTAACACAATCTCTTATAGATGATTATTAATACGCAGTTTCCCTTATTTCTTCCTTCCCTCTCATTTTTGGGAATGGTAATTGGTTATTTTGTTGTTCTTTCTTGTAGTTGCTGTTTATAGAAATTTGTTGTCAGTTGTGTTTTCTCAAATACTTACTTGACTTGGATCCATATCTTTTGTCCATTTACTCATTTACATTACTTTTTTTTTCTATTTTGATTGACTATCTACATTACTTTTTAAATAAACACAAAACTCAAAAGGTACAAAACAATGTAATAAAAAATGTTTCTTTCATATCCTATCCTCCCAAATACCCTGCTCTAATCTCCTTTACTAGATTTCTTCTATAATCTTCCTAAGACTGTCTATGCATGTAAGTTGATTTTTTTAAAAAAAACAAAAATAGCATAGCATACACATTTTTCTGTATCTTGATAATTTTTATCCAACAACATTTCTTGGCAATCATTTTTAAATTTTTGTTGTTGTTGTTGTTTGGCAGCTAGCCAGTATGGGGATCCGAACCCTTGACCTTGGTGTTACAAGGCTGTGCTCTAACCAACCAAGCTAACCGACCAGCCCCCTTGACAGTCATTTTTTATTAGTACTAACCTACTTCATTCATTCTACAAGTTGTATAGCATTTCATCACATAATTGGAATATAATTTATTTAATCAGTCTATATTGGTGGACATTTAGTTTGCTTTCTTTGCTATCATAAAATTAAGCTGAAGTTAATTTCCTCATATATTTGTCTTTGCCTGCACTAGTGAAAGGGTATGCATGTACTTAATGTTAAGAGCTGTAGCTAGATTGTCTCCCAGAGAGGGCTATAGTCATTTACTGGCCCACTACCACTGTATTTGAACAACTGTTTCCCCACACAACGAACCACAGAGTCTATTATAAAATATTCTCATCTTTGAATCTGATAGGTGAAAAATATTTTTTTATACTTCTAGTGAAAAATTTACTTCTCCTTTTCTATGTTTGTACCTCTTATTTCTTTTCTTGTTATGTCACATAGCTACCACCTCCAGCACAATGTTAGATGATCATGGTGAACATGGACATCTTTGTCATGTCCTTGACTTTAATGTGAAGGAGTTTGATGTTTCCCAGTAAGCATGATTTTAGCTATTAGAAGGAGATATAGATATAGATATTTTGCCATGTTAAGGAAGTACCCATTTCTTTTTGTTTTTATTCACAGGTGTTATGTTTTTTGTCACTTTTTAGCCACGAATGAAACTTGAATTCTTTCAAATGCCTTTCAGCATCTAATTTTACACTTTTCAGTGGTTTTCACCAACTCAGCCATGTTTTCCTCAGCAGTGTATCCTACGATTTCCGCAGTCAGTGTTTTATTTGTCCCTGGTCATCATGTCTACAATTACCTTGTCCCTTATACCTGCTGCAGTGGCTCCTGTGGTGCTCCACCCAGATCCCTGCACTCATCCTGAAGGGGCTAAAGGCTCACACTGCATCCCTCCCTTGGAACTTCCCCAGAGCACAGGAACTGCTCAGCCATAGCCCTGAGTGTCTGATACCTGGACACAAAGGACTGGCCCCATGGCCTCAACTGGGGGACGAATCTGAAGGGCTCCAGAGCTCCTCAGTGAATGGGCTAAAGTCTGGGCTTGCTACTCTGTGGTGAGTCAGCTTCTCCTTGGGTCCCAATCCTGCCTTCCTCACTTCCTGACAAGTGTATCTCCTGAGAGTACATCTTAACACACCTTCTGCGTGAACTCTTTGTCTCAGAATCTGTTTTCAGGGAACCTAGTCTAAGACACAAGCCTATGAACTCCTTCGTGATAGGGATTTTCCATTTGTCTCTCCAGGTCTCCACTCCCCATCTGGCTTTCTGCCCCAGGAGGCTCACTTGTGTGAATTACATGAACAGGGTTCCTTTGCCCTCTGACTTTCTGTGGGATTTAGTCACAGGAATGCCACAGCAGAAGATCCAAGAGAGGGAAGAGGGTAAGGTTGAATATCATTCCCCTCATCCAGGTTGACAGGGTCATTTCATTGGCTGACCATCAAGGCTGCTCTCCGGTTGGCCTGCTCTACATGACACTGTCCTTCCACATTCTGATAGCATCTCCCTTCTGCTCTTCCCTCAAACCTAGAGAAGCTGTAGACTCTATAGCCTATCACTTGTGGTTCTCCTGCACCAGCCGCACCTTGGTAAGTAGTAACTAAATCCTCTTCAAGTGATCCGGGGTCTGATTATGCATCTGTTTCCTTCTGGGACCAAGACTGATGTACCCCTATCAAGTATAGAGAGCAAGATGGTTCTCCCACTGCATCCTGCCTATATGGGCCCAGTTTTAGCACAGAACAAAAGAAGAGGATGCAAGGAAACAATACTACTACCACTACTTCTATTAATAATAAAAGCCAATATTTACTGATATTAGCCAGGAGCTGTCAAATAAAACCAAATCTCACCAAGGTCCAGGGTTCCATCTGATCCTTGTTACCAGCCAGCCACCAAAAAAAAAAAAGGAGAACAAACAAAAACCCAGCCAAATCCAGATATAGATCAGGAAAGACTTTACTTGAAAGGATTGACACAAGGGGTGGAGCTGGGGGAAGGAAGGGATTATTGTAATAAGAGGAGAGAGACTCCTGCATAGGGAAAATAATCAGCCTTCAAGTGTCTCAGGGGTTAGGCAAAGTGGGTTTTTCTTCTCTAGGGAGGAGTAAACAAGGCTAGAATCAATCTGGTGTGGGATGGTGAAGGAAAGGGTGGGGTGGCTGATGTGATAGTAGATTAGAGATTGTTTTATCCTAAAGCCAGCCTCTTCTCAGGAGGGAATGTTAAGAGGGGGCCTCATGCTAGCTCAGGCTGAAGGTAGGTCACATCCAGGGGCCTGGGGGAAGGAGAGAATCCTAACCAATGTTTGATTAACAAGCACTTTGTTCAGATTTTCATTCCATGGGTACAAGCAGTTCAGCTAGTCATTTATGAGACAGGTAGTAACGATTTGAAGGGTTTGTACCTGGACATATCATAGGTAAACAAGAGAAGAATCCCTAAGTCTCATTTAAGTCATATGGAGAAGGATAGTTCTTTGTAATAAACTCATATTGGGAACACAAAGAGTTTGGGGATATTTCTTTAACCACTGCTGTTTTCCAGGATCACAGGGCTCAGGTAAATTTCAACATTGTCAATATGAATCTATGAGTTTTACATGGTTATTTTATGATAGTAGATCAGAGATTATTTTATCCTAAAGCCACAGAGATTGTTTAATCCTCTCACCATACCTACCTCTGGATAAGTACAGCAAAGTGAATAAGGGATTGCTAATAAGACAAACTTGGGCAAATTACTTAACTTCAGTTTCCTCTGTATACAAGATTACTAATAGTTCTGTCCTCATAGAATTGTGGTAAGAGTTAAACAAGTTAATACACACAAAGTGCTTATAAACGGCTCTGGGTATAGCGATTATTCCATACATGATCCCAGGGAGGGAATCTCATTATTCGAAATTTTCAAATGAAGGTCCTGAAGCACTGGGAGGGTAAGTAATGTACCCACGTAAGTAAAGATTAAAACTCACCCAATGGCAGGCTTTTCTCCACTCTCCTCTACTGCACTCCTCAAGTGGGAGAAAAAAGGATAATGTGGAAGAAACGTTAGACAAAGCCACGATCAGTTCTCCTGAGTTACTGTCTACAATTCAAGGATAAAAAGAAGGAATTGAATAACTTTTTTATTTTTCTCAAACATTAGGGGTTATCAGAGCAGTAACAGAAAGGAAACATCTTTACCTCCTAGAATTACATCTTGCTGCCAGCACAGTCTGTGGTCACCTGAGCTGGCACTGGGACAGTAGCCAAGGCGCCACCTCCCTCACGATTGATCCAGCACTCTGGAGTCTCCCCATTCTATTATGCACAGTCCTTTATCTCTAGGTGGAAGGAATCTATACAATTCTGCAAAACGGTTGTAATCTATTTTCTGCTAAATCAGTTAGCAAGTGCTCTCTAAGTACATTATTACTGTGGCTGTGGTTTTGTTATTATTATCATATTCCCTTCCTTTAGTAATTCAGTTTCTTCTGGGCCGGCCCGGTGGCGCACTGGATAGTGCGCCGCTTGGGAGCGCGGCGGCGCTCCCGCCCGAGGGTTCGGATCCCACATACGGACCGGTTCCCGCTCACTGGCTGAGCGAGGCACGGGAGCAACACCGAGGCTTGCGATCCCGTTGCCGGGCCCCCGGCCCGGCC